GAAGGAAACCAGGCCTATTCTGGTTATAATGGTATAATGTGTACAGTACAAAGTCATCATTTTGTTAAGTATTTTAATTTCAGTTAAAAATGACTTTGTTGTATAAAGGCAGTGGCAGCTGCAGGTGATATTCAACAATAGCACTAAAATCTAATACCTATCAATAGCTCTACAATTAAACTGTCAGGGTTAACCAATACATTTTGGTCATTTACTTACTTGGATACTGGCTGGTGGCCATCTCAGTCTCATCCATGAAGACATTCATTAGGCCGGTTATCTCTCTCGTCAGGTTAAATGTGTCAGGTAACAGATTTGTCAGTGTGCAGCAGAAATGCTCTCCAGTCTCCAGCAGACATGCTTTTGCAGTGATCCTCTTCAGTGTCTTAACACGCTCTGAAGTGACCGCTCAGTGGGAGTGAAACTAACTGCAGCTTTACCGTTATGACATCACAGTCTGGAATTCTAATCTGGGTATCGCCTCCTCAAAAACAAGCCCATGTTTCATATCTAAACATTTCAGTTGTGCGCTAGTGCATTTGATCATCTAGTTTCTACATTAATATCAGCTTTTTTTCCATTTTTCTACTGACATCTGTATTTGCAAATACATCTGACCAGTATACAAAATCACTGCCCACACATTTTCACTCCCTTCTCATCTTGGACAGAAACACATCTGGAGTCTTTGAATAATGTTAGCCCATGTACTGAAGAACAGATTTGTAATATAACTTATTTCTCAAACTAAACTTAGCGAATGCATGTGCTTTACCTGACACTTGTTGCTTTAGGTTGCTAGACAAGTCGTTGATTCGTTGGGACTCTGTGTTTCTTATAAGACTGATGTTTTCAAATTCTCTCTTTCTCTCTCTTCACAAAATTCTCTCTCTCTCTTCACAAGAAATCTGAGAAGCAAATGCATTATGATTGCAGTTTAGCCTTTATGGAGGAATAAGGCAAAGCTGCCCGATATCTCCATAACTTTTACGGAACACTTTTTCAAAAGCCTCTGGTTTATGTTTAAATATAAATAAATGTGAATTGATGTCTTTTAAAAAATGTACGATCTCTTCAGTGCGTAACATTTCCCTTAAGGATCAAGTTACATGTTCAGGAATCCATATAATACAAGATCAGACAAGAAATAAATGTAATTCTTGGCTACTGAGAGAGCTGCCTTTGCTTTTCAAGGCAGAAGGCATTTCTCTGGGCGTGAGGTTCACTCATTTTATATGTTAATGAGTCCTTGCCTAAAAAAATTATAACAAAACAGTCTGAAACCAAAACAGTCTCTTTTTTTTATTATTCTTATTAATAACATGTTTTCTTTATTCTTTCTTTTCTTGAATTTTGATGCAATTTTGTTGTGGTTCGTGGCTTGTACTTGTTGACACGATATCTCTTGAGATGTTTGAGAAATGAATAGTAAAAAGTCACCTTAGCTGTCGCTGTGGATGATATCAATGATACCTCGTGGGTGTCGTTGTGGTCCCTGCTGTGTTTTTCTCTCTACTTTGGACGTCTATGTGAGAGATTTTTTGATGATATTGACGATATTATCGTCTTCCACGTTTTGTTTTTTGTAATATCTCAATACACATTTAATGAAAGATCATATATGACAAAATAAAAAGAGCAAAAAAAGTAGTAGTAATAATAATAATAATAATAATTGTAGTACAGTATTTGAGTTTTTCAAGCTTTATTAGGGTTTGTAACATTTTTATTTTACACAGGATTGCTATCAAAAAAGAATTATATTTACAATCACAAAGTATCAAAGACAGTGTCATCATTTTTCCATAAATGTCAAATAATTGTCAATTTAATTAAATAAAAAAATGAGTAATGCCACTGAAATTCTTTAAACTTTTATATAAGATCTCTTGTGATGCTTTTGACTCATATAGTTTAACTTACATACAGCAGAGTTAAAGAAAGTGTTCGCATTTTTAATAGTTATCTTGTGTACAACAGTGTAGCTGATGATCCCAGACCAAGTCTAAACCCAGTGTTTTAACCTTTACTGTTTTAATGTTTAAGTTTTAGCACAACTGAGGAACAATGAGGAAGTGAGCAGGAATTTTTCATCTACTGTTATTCTGGGTCACATAAACTCACAGTTCCTCTGTAAACCTTAAACCCAGCGTATAGAGGCTGAGTGAATGTGGTGTGGACTCTGTGGATGAGCCTCATCGTGTCAGAGACGCTGTAGAAGGACAGACTTCCTGCACTGTGATCCACATACACTCCTATTCTGGAGGATGATGGAACTCCGAGCTCAGTTTTAATGTCGTTGTGATGGAAAGAGAGAGAGGAAGAAGAACAGCCCAGACTCCAGGACTGACTGTTTCGTCCAAACCCACACTTTCTACCTGCTCCTTTCCTCTTGATCTCGTTATATGAGACTGAGATGGATACACCTCCAACACCGCTCCACTCCACCTCCCAGTAACAGCGTCCACACACACTCTCATTACACAGCACCTGAATATAGGAGTCGAATCTCTCTGGATGATTAGAGTACAGCTGTCTCACACTGTATGTCACCACTCTGTTCTTCTCAGACAGATGGAGGTAATGATGTGCTGTGTTGGGATCCAGAGTCAGATAACAGAAATCTAAAATAGATTAAATTACTCATTAACAAAATTTAAAAACACGAATGTTTGATACTGTGTGTGTGTGTGTGTTTTAGATGTACATTTTAGAAAATCTTCTCTGCACTTTGGCTCTGAGGGTGAAATCTTCTGAACTGCTGCAGCTGTGGAGACAAAACAGAGATGAAGATAAAAATGAATCATCAGCTTCTGTAAAAGATGGAAACAGTTTAAAGTGATGCAGTGAATGTATTCATTTTAAATCAATGTTTTAGTTAAAAGTGTTAGTCATTCCTGTGTATCTTGTGAATATTTCCTGAGTGAGTAAAGACTTCCATCAGGGTGTTTCTCCAGCAGAAACAGTTCCTCTTACCATGTGGAGGGAATATGTTGAATTCCTTCTTGCAGAATTCCTTGAATCGCTTTTTCAGATCTGAGAGAGAATTCCTCACTCCATCAAATGAGAGATGTTGATGGACAGTGATGCTGGGTGAATCCTCACGTCCAGAAGAGACACAGAGAGACTGGAAACTCTACAGAGAGAAAGAAGGAGAAAGGTGAGGAACAAGAGAGGAACGAATGATCTCAGAAGAAATTAGACCAAAGATACACTGTGAGTGAAATACGCTGCTTACAAAGGCAAGATACTATTTAATATAATATTAATATAAAGTTTTGAGTAATATGTTTGTTTGCTGAAATGTAAATAGGACTTGTCACTATAGTGAATGCTACCTGGAAGAAGTGGATGTGATCGTGTGTGTTTGAAAGCTGCTCCAGCTCAGTGACTCTCCTCTTAAGATCAGTGATCTCCTGCTCCAGTTGCTCCAGGAGTCGTTCAGCTCGACTCAGTTCAGCCTTCTCCTGAGCTCTGATCAGCTCCGTCACCTCCGAGCGCTTTTTCTCCATGAAGCTGATCATCTCAGTAAATATAATCTCACTGTCCTCCACTGCTGTCTGAGCATGGGACTGTTAGGAAACACACACACACACACACACACACACTTCCCTCTCTTACTGTGACTCTGGATGACTGGTTGTTCATGTTGTGTGTGTTTCCAGGAGCAGCTCTGTCTCTGCTCACTGCTCACCTTAATCATGTTTACAGCCTGTTTCAGCTCCTGCACCTTCTTCTGCTTCTCCTGGATTCTCTGCTGGGATTTCATCTGCTCCTCCTTTAGCTCACACTGAGCACAAATCACATATGCTCAGATGGTTATAAATGATGTGTGGGTGAATATTAATGGGAGCTAAATTGTTAAAGTTCACAGTCTTGTGTGGAATTGTTTAAGTTGTAAAACTGGTGTTCAGCTGCTCCAAAGTTCACTGACTGCTCTGATGTGATTATGACTAATGCTGGCTGAGGAGGATAAATTCATTTAACACTTTTGTAAACACAACACACTTTTCAAATCATTCTGATGAACTGAACCATTGCAATCACAATTTAAATATGATAACTGACTAAAGCCACCCATTCTAGATAAGAAATATAATTCAGATGAATTAATTCTGAAAAGATTTCTAGTTCTCACCTGTTTCTCAGTTCTCTCTGCTGAAAGTGATACAACGTCATGGCCTTTGTGATTATCCAACATGCACAAAGAACAAATGCACCTTTGGTCAGTACGACAGTAGATCTCCATCAGTTTGTCATGTTGAGAGCAGATCTTCTCTTGGAGTTTTGAGGAGGCTTTGATTAAGGTGTGCTTTTTCAAAGCAGGAAGTTCAAGATGAGGTTTAAGATGAGTTTCACAAAAGGAGGTCAGACACATCAGACAGGACTTGATGGCTTTGAGTTTTCTCCCGGTGCAGAAATCACACTCCACGTCTCCAGGTCCAGCGTAACAGTGAGCAGGAGAACCAGCTGGAACTTCAGTCTTCAGTTTCTCCACCACTTCAGCCAGCATGTTGTTTCTGCGTAGAACAGGCCTGGGAGTGAAAGTGTCTCTGCACTGAGGACAGCTGTAGACTCCCTTCTCATCCTCCTGATCCCAGCAGCCATTAATACACACCTTACAGTAACTGTGACCACAGGGGATAGCCACCGGATCCTTCAGGAGATCCAGACACACTGGACAGCTGAACTGCTCCTGAGCTACTGGGATAAAAGCCTCGGCCATTTTCCTGCACTCACACACTGAGAGAGCGAGAGAGAGAGAATCTGTATATTCAAAATGATTGCAGGTTTTAAAACTTTCTTTTTCACAGTAAACATCTGTCATTTTTGGAGAACATTGCTGCCCAACAGCTCTTTTTTAAAGAAGAAAAATAAGCATGATGTATCCCGTCAGAGTTCAGGAAGCTGCTGACTTCAGATTGTGGTTGGATTTCTGTTTTGGTTTTGTTGGACTTAGTTCAGCATTTGACACTATCAACCATGGTATTTAGAGGAAAGTGGTAGCTCAGTGGTAGTGATGGTGGACTACTAATCGGTAGGTGATGAGTTCAATCCTCAACACCACAAAGCTGCCACTGCTGGGCCCTTGAGTAAGGTCCTTAAACCTCAACTGCTTAGTTGTTTAAAATGAGATAAATGTAAGATGCTCTGGATAAGGGCATCTGCCAAATGTAAATTTAGTTTTTAGCATAAACAGAGATCTTTCAGAGCTTAAAACATGCAGTTGGCGTCCCAGAGGGTTCTGTCCTAGACCATTTACTGTTTTCATATAAAGTATCTGAAACATTTAATCAATAAACATAATGTTGGTTTCCACTTCTACATTGACACTAAACAGCTATACTTATCACTCCAGCCAGATTCAGCAGCACAGTTACACAAAATGGATGCATGGATTACCAGAAAATTCCTACTTCTAAATCCGGATAAAAATGCACCATTGGATTGGATTATTGTAATGTGTTGCTAGCTGGCTCTATCCTTAAATAAGCTTGAACTAGTCCAGAATGCTGCAGCTTGTGTCCTTTCCAGTAAAATAAACTCATTTGATCACATTTCTCTAGTGTTATTCAACTTACCCTGGCTGCCTCTTAAGTTTCACATCAACTAAAAGATTTAATAAAGACACATAAATCTCTAAATAGGTTAGCTCTGGCATATCTTACTGATCTTCTGAAACAGTATGACCCATCTCAAGCACTTCATTCAGCTGAGGCAGATTTAATATTTATTCCCAGGATTCAGTGTTCCAGAGGATTAGGAACACTGCTTGGGTAAATGTTTTTAAATCCAGATTACTTGTTCAAACGGACTTATTCATATTTTCTTTCATTACACATATCATTTTGCTGTGATAAGTTTTTTAGTTAAAAGGTACTGTAACACAAAATTAGTTTTTTAAGCTGTAAACATTCATAAAACATATTGTTATACAACTGTTTAGTTCAACAAATTTTTAATATTAAATAATACAGTACCTTATGCTGCAGGTCGAAAATTCCCTTGTACCTGTCGCTCCTTCCCTCTATTTCATATCTATTTCATATCAACGACCTTTCGCCTGTCATTGCCCTCAAACACAGAAGCTCTGAGCTGTAAATACAACTCTGAGCGCTGATCAGCTAAACATCACGCCCTACAGAAGTGCACTACTTTTAATGTGAATAATAGCTTCCAAAGCCTATGTAGTGTACTACAGGAAGCCAGCTATTTTCCAGCTATTTAGACATCCAGTCCAGGGTGGACAAAGTTTTTAATAAGTATTGACCAGTAGTGGATTTAAGCAATATACTCACCATCATATGTCAGTTTTATTGCAGTGCTCTGGTATAAGTCAGCCTGTGAACAAAGTCCAAGATGTTAATGTTTAGTCTTAAATAACACTATGTCCGTCCCATCCAACATCACATTCATACAGATCAATTCTAACCTATAGAAGAATATAAATCAATTATATTACTCATTTAATAAACTCTACGATTGTGGCACCACTACAAAGTTTGGACCCAAAAATGTCCTACTTTTTGTATTGGGGATTCTGTGTTAGACAGTTTGCTGTTTTGATAATAATAAATTAGCA